GTGAAAATCTAGAACTGATTTAGTATCTACCCCAGCAAGCTGAACAATTACAACCTGAGACAAAACCAAGTGACAGAAAAGCCTCACTCTCACTATTTTTAGCACAGCTGGATCAAGAGAACCCAAGTATACCTGTCATTTTTCATCTTCATGAGTTTCTTGTCACTTGAGAGGAAATTATGTTTTTGATGGAAATATCAGGTGGATGGGTCACTTTCTGCTCCAAAATGCAGTGGATGTAGATCTGAATATTGAAAATAACAATTTACTATCTCTGTATTAAATGATTAAATGATTTCTTATTAAATAAATTCCTTATTCCTGTATTAAATGATTCCTTATCTTTATTCCTGTATTAAATGATTCCTTATTCATCTGGATAAGGAATCATTTAATACAGGAATAAGGAATTTACAAGTAAAAGAAACCATACAAGCAAAACTGAAGCTACAGAAAGGACAATGAATTTTTCAAGGTTTTGATCTCAGTGCCCAGGGTTTGGGGGTGTTTTTCCTCCCCCATTGCTCTGTGGGAGATTTGAGTGCTGGCACAAACCCAGCAGCTCAGCACAGGCAGCAGAAACCGTGGGCTACAACTTCACCCTCAAAGCTCCTTTCTCATTCTGGAATTGAAATCTGATTGTTAGATGGAAAACAGAAAACCCTCATGCTAACCACAACTCCAAAGTCTGCAAGTGCAGCTTGGGGGACATTTCCTAGAGTCAGCAGAACTGGCTCCCAACAGGCAGAAAATTCTGAGGTGGCAACAGATTTCTACCTTTGTGCACTTTGGGACTGTCACAGGGACACAGGGATGGTCAGGGCTGAGAAATCACTTGGTGAAGAAATCACTTCTTGGCAGAAGTCAGAGTGACACACAGAAGGATCAGGAAGCTTTGCCCAAAGTTCAGCACAAGCCCAGAGTGGAAATTCCACAGACGGAACAGAAATTTACCAGTAAAAATTGCAACAAATTCAAACAAAAGAAAAAAAAAATCTGCTTTGGTTGCAGATGTTCAGAAGTTTTCAAAGGCAAGAGTGGAGAAACCAGACTGGCTTGGGTTTGGTGTTTCTGTCTAAATTGCCAAATAATTTTGCTCTTCAGCCCTGGTGCTGCACTGGGTTCTCTCTCCAAGGAGTCAATGAATTCTTTAGCACAAAACCCTGCTGTGGAGAAAACTTGCTATTCCAGCTGGTTCAAATGCAAGCAGCATTTGGGAATTAGGGAAAACTGCAATTAGGGAAAACTGCTCTATACTGCAGTGACACAGAGAAAATGCAAAAAAAAAAGGGATAAATCCCAGAGTGATTCCACATGTCCACAGAGAAAGCTTTAAAAATTCAACACATCCTTTTGTAAGGGAAAAACCTTTACAAAAGACAGGTATCTTAATGCCTTACCTAAGACAAGCAGCTCAGGACCAGGCTGAAGGATTTGCAGCACAGAGGGTGGCAAATCCCAATTAATAATGGCCACTGGGCACCTCAGTGCTGGGGAATCAGGGACAGCTGCTTCTCCTCTGCCCAAATCCCTGCTCACCTCCAAAGGCTTTGCTGCTCCTGCGGTGCACCTGTGCTCAGCCACTTGGAGAAACCATCCCCAAAATATGAACAAAACCACCCACAGAAGCAAAAAAGCAAGAAGCTGGTTTAATTTGGGTAAGAAATTAGGGAAAACAAATAAAAGAAGGCATGTCATTTCAAAGGGAACTTCATGCAAAAGCAGCAGCACTTGCATCTGATTGATGTGCAGAAAGCTGCAAAAGAATTATTTATAAAGCCCAATGACACAGATTCTTCTATTGCTAAAGTGACAAAGTAAGATAAGATAAGATGAGCTAATTGCTTTGACAGCTTCACTGTCGGCCCTCAGCATTCAAACTTTTGATGTCTGGAGTTGAAAACTGAGTATTTTTAGATTCCATTTTCTTTCCAGGATGTTATCACACGAGAAGAAATAACCAAAGTTGAAAAGTTCACACCTGTCCAATCTCCATCTGTGAAACTGCTGAACATAATTAGCTGGAAAAGGACATTCACCTGCCAACGTGAGGCTTCCTCCAAACTGCAGGGCAAGAAAAGCTGAATAAAGTGCAAACAGACTCTAATGAAGGCATGACAGAGGTGTGTGCTCAGTGCTTTCACCTCCTGCACGCCACAAATCACCCTGATCTCCACTGCAAACTGCAGAACTTGGGCACAAAGCCTGAACACTTCACCCACGATCTGAAAGTAGAAAGAATCCAGGGGGTGAATCATGGTGATCTCATCTCTCCAGCAATAAAGAGAATCATGTGTCAAGCTTCACCAGAAAAGGGAATTATACTTACAGGAGGTAGAAAGATCTTATTTATCACCATATTTTTGTCTACAGCACAGAAATGTAGCTGTGAACTGTAAATGCAGCTCAGGATTTACACAACACATTGTCAACAACCTGCTGGCAAAATGCTGCAGGCTGTGGTGATCTCCAGGTGATCTCCTCTTGATCCTGAGCACCACCTGGATGGCTCCTTGGAGAGAGAACTCCATGCTTTGCAGAGACTCCATTGGGAATTAATGCTTCCCACCAATTTAAAAGGGATCAGTAATGCACTACAGCTTGTTGTTCAATGCAAGGTGTGGATTCTCTTTTCCCAAATTTACAGAATTCCCAGAATGACCAGGTTGGAAGAGACCTTCAAGATCAAGTCCAACCCAGCCCCAACACCTCAACTAAACCCTGGCACCCAGTGCCACATCCAGGGATGGAGACTCCACCACCTCCCCAGGCAGAAAATTCCAGAACTTTATCACTCTTTCTGTGAAAAACTTTTTCCTGATATCCAACCCTTGGTGCAGCTTGAGGCTGTGTCCCCTGGTTGTGTCAGTGCTGCTGGAGAAAGAGCCCAGCCCCAGCTGAGCACAGGCACCTTTCAGGAGCTGCAGAGAGTGGTAAGGTCACCTAAATTAAAGTAATTTAATTTTAATTCCCTGCATGGCTAAGAGATAAACTTCCAAAAAAGTTTTCAGGAAGGAAGTGAATAGTCTGGCACCACAAAAAGAGACCAACCCCACCTGACTGCAGCCACCTTTCAGGGAGTTGTAGAGAATGATAAACTAAGGTAATTTAAATTAAATTAACAAATTAATTAAGGTAATTTAATTTAATTCCCTGCATGGCTAAGCAGGAATACGAAAGTTTTTAGGAAGGACGTGAAGGGTCTGGCACCACAAATATCCTCCAGGTGAATCCTGCAGGATTCACCTCAGGAAGAGGCAGAGGTTTAATGTAAGGGGTATAGAGAGAAAAGAGATGAAGTAGGGAGAGAAGATATGTTGTTATTTTATTGTAAATTTTTTATACTTTCTCAGTGATTTCTCAGGGGTAGTTCCTCACAGCACTGACTCTTCTTCACAGCACAGTTAACAAACTCTAGTTCTCTTCTTAACCAGTAAACTCACTCTTTTATAACACTCATCTTTATTGGAGACAGCTGTGGCCTGCTAATGGCAGGCTTGTTCTTAATCTTTACAGAATCAAAGAATGATGAGGTTGGAAGAGACCTCTCAGATCATCCAGTCCAACCCATGCCCTCACACCTCACCCAGACTACAGCACCAAGTGCCATGGCCAGGCCTTTTTAAACACACCCAGAGATGGTGATCCCACCACCTTCCTGGGAAGAGCATCCCAGTACTTTATTATTCTTTTGGTGAAAAATTTGTTCCTAATATCCAACCTATACCTTCCTTGATGCAGCTTCAGACTGTGTCCTCTGGTTCTGAGGACAATTAATTCGTAATTGATACAACTCCAACTCCTCAAAAATAAAATTACTTTCTACACTACCTATATTTTTTTACATTTTATCCCCCAACACAGATCATGGTGAAACTGTAAATAACCCATCAGCAACTTCCTCCAGGAGGCAGCTGCACCCCTTGCCCAGCTTTAACACCTGCAGTGAAGCTTTGTTTCAATGCCTGCAAGATGAGCTTGTTATAGATAGATAATGAGATCATTGGCTCTCACAATTAAGGGATGACTATTGTGTGAACATTAAGAAAAGCTTTAGTGATGTACGGTGTTGGAGAATTTTGCTCAGAAATGGCTTATAGAGTTTTGTTCAGACATGCCATAATCATATACAGCTGATGGAAAAGTAAAAGGCAGCTGTGAGGAGCAAATTCTCAAAGCCTGTTTCTGTAAACAACAAAAGTTCTCAGGCACATTTATGTAAACAGCAGAAGTTCTCAGGTTGTTTTTTAATAACAAGTAAATATCTTGGATAAGTTGGGAAAGCAAAAGTGACAAACATGGAAGTTTTGAGAAGCATTCATATCAGGGTGAGAAAACAAATCTTGGTTTCAATAACAAACCACAGGTATTGAAAACAAAAGGAGGGGTTAATGTGTAATCTGCAGCCTATGATGAGCTCGGGTTTTGCAATACGTATGAGCTTAATTAACACGGTTATAAAATGTGCCTGGTGGATCAATAAATCGGAGTTCGATGCTGATCAAAGGATGGGTCGTCTCCCTTCACTTCTACAGTATGGTTATGTTATTGTGGTTTAGATGCCCTCTGTTCTCCCCACAGTTCCCTTTCCCCCTGTATTGATGCCATCACACACCCTGGGCTGTCCAGGACAGGTACAAAGAAGCTGCACAGGTGTCCCTGGCATGGGGCAGTGGGAATGGAAAAGCTTGGGGGTGCTGAGGGGGGTGAGGCAGGGCCAACACCTGACCCCCAATCCAGTGACAAGAAAGCAGTTTGCACTGATAAATGGCACAGAAGAGCTGAATGACAAACTTTGGGAGGGGCCAGGGCTGGCTGATGCAACCCCAGGGGTATAAAAGACTGAGCATCCACCCTGAAGGTGAACGGGTATCCATGAGGGGCACTTCCCAGCGCTGTGAATTTTTCCTTATGTACTCCTTTTGTTGTACTTTTGTTAATAAACCTTTTTAACTTTTCAAAGTGGGTGGTTGTCGCTGCCAAGCTGCAAGCACGGTTACCTTCCAGCCCCTGCTCTGCCTGCTGGGCCCTCCTCTGTGCCATCAGCCTGGTGCCCATGTTCCTGCGGCGCCGGGGCATCCCCTCTGCCCGCTGCTCCTCCTGGGCCCGCGGCCTGGCCCCTGCTGCTGCTGCTGCTGCCACATGCTGCTGCTGCTCACCCTCATCAGCTGCAAGGAAAAGAGAAAATATTCATGTTAAAGCTGACTCTCCCTTCTGCCTCTGTTTCTGAGTTAGCAAACAGCACGCACACAAAAGCGTGGTTTTCTTTCTTGTGAAAAATGGCGTTTTGCAAATAAGAAAGTGAGTATTATATGTGTTATGTTAGAAAGTTATGCTTTATTTATTATTTATTTATTTAGTTAACTTTATTATTTATTTTTAAAATAATAATAAAAAAATTAATTTTATTATTTTAAATAATAAATAATAAAAACTTTAAATAATAAAATTTTTAAAATAATTTTTAAAGTATTCATTTGCTTAATTAGTGTGTTAAATATAGCCTTAGGTTCTAACATAATGTTATAATAGAAACTATGCTATGTAAGATACTTTTTTTAAAGAGAGGACTCACACCAAGATAGCAGCCACAGGACACCTGAATCTTTTAGAGAAAAAGAATTTATTGCTCCATTATCAGAAGAAACAAACTCTTTGTTCTTATTGTCTCGTATTGTCCTAAATCCTAATTGTCCAAATTTTTTATTACTCTAATTATATTACTACTTTTATAACCATTTCATTACTATTAAACTTTAAAAATTCTAAAAGCATGCAAGTATGCATCATGTATGAGGTGTATGAATATGCAACAGGCTGTTGCTTTTAAGGGTTAATCCTCTGTTAATGTGGGCCCTTTTTTGGGATTATTTTGCATAGAAAGAGGTACCCAGACTGTCTGAAACTCTCTGTTTTTATTTTATTTTTATTATATCTCACATTATCCTAACCCTAAATGTCCAAATTTTTTTATTACTCTAATTGTATTACTATTTTTATAACTATTTTATTACTATTAAGAATTTAAAAATTTAAAAATAAGTGATTGGCGTTTTTCACATTTCTGAAGTATTTTGATTTTTTTATTTGAATTTATACTTGTGTAACGTAGATTCATCTGACCGAAACCTCAGAGGCTGAATGTTTCAGAGAGGAATATGTAAAGCATTCCACATGAAACAAACCCTGAAGAGCAAAAAGGGATGACAAATTACAGCTGAAATAAACACTTCATTCTGCCCTGCTGGTTTCAACTCCCCAAATCACAAACAAGACATGAAGGGCCACTGCAGCTCTCACTGCCATTTCTCTGCATATGCTGCAGTTACTAATTAAGATCTGGCAAATTAAGAATATCCTAATAAGAACAGCTGGGAGGATGGAACTGACCAGTGGGTTCCTTTCAGAAGTTTTCCATAGAAAACTCTCACATTTTTTTTTAGGCTTCCTGTTGCTTTTATCTATGGCAGTAATGCAAAGAAAAAACCCCAAAACCACATAATGGTAAAATGCCATCATCCTTGATACCTGCTTTGCATATTCTGTTGATAAGCCTAACTGATATTGTTACCTGCAAAGTAATAACTTTTAAGCTTTAATTCAAGCAAATATTCAAATGGTCTCATGGAAAACTGCAGAACAGCTCACTCACTCCAACTCAGGACACATTTATTTTGTGATCTGACAGATTATGGTGTGCAAGCTCTGTGCCGAGTCTCCAGCACCCCTGAGCCAAACAATGCCCTCCTAAAAAACTCCTATTAGCATATCTGCCATCAGAAAATGGGATTTGTTGTGAGTGAATCTATGCAGCACTAAAGGTGAGCCTGCAGCTCTCACTGCCATTTCTTTGCATATGCTGCAGTTACTAATTAAGATCTGGAAAATGAAGAATATCCTGACAGGAGCAGCAGGGAGGATGGAACTGACCAGTGGGTTCCTTTCAGAAGTTTTCCATAGAAAACTCTCACATTTTTTTTTAGGCTTCCTGTTGCTTTTATCTATGGCAATAATGCAAAGAAAAAACCCCAAAACCACATAATGGTAAAATGCCATCATCCTTGATACCTGCTTTGCATATTCTGTTGATAAGCCTAACTGATATTGTTACCTGCAAAGTAATAACTTTTAAGCTTTAATTCAAGCAAATATTCAAATGGTCTCATGGAAAACTGCAGAACAGCTCACTCACTCCAACTCAGGACACATTTATTTTGTGATCTGACAGATTATGGTGTGCAAGCTCTGTGCCAAGTCTCCAGCACCCCCAGAACCAAACAATGCCCCCCTAAAAAAACTCCTATTAGCATATCTGCCATCCGAAAATGGGATTTGTTGTGAGTGAATCTATGCAGCACCAAGGGTGTGCCTGCAGCTCACCTCAGCTATTTCAGCCCTCCAAGGGCTGATTTTGGGGCTGGTAAGGACAGGCTGCAGCCCCCAGCTCAGCAGGGCCACCTGGGGCAGGCTGTGGCCAGCAGAGATGTCACAGGGATGTCAGCAGGTCCCCACAGGCTATGACATTGGAACTGAGCGACTGCCCTGTCACACTGCTGTCACCCACTGCTGCCATCCACCTGTGCACACAGAACAGGGCTGGGAGAAATCACTGAGTTCAGAGATGCCAAAATGCTGTTCCAATTTGGAATTCTACAGGAAACCTTTCCCAGAAGAAGCAGAGCACATCACTTCTTGGACACTGATAAATGCCAAAAACACTCTGCAAAAAGCTTTTTATACAAATGAAGTATTTCACTTCCTAACTTCTTGAGATATGGTGCAATTCAAACCTCAGTACCCTTTCACCTGCAAGCTTCAGTAATTCCCAACATGGTGCAGACAGAACAGGGCTGGGAGAAATCACTGAGTGCAGAGATGCCAAAATGCTGCTCCAAGGCTTGGCCTGTCCTACTCACAGCTTATTTGGAATGCTACAGGAAACCTTTTCCTGAAGAAGCAGAGCACATCACTTCTTGGACACTGATAAATGCCAAAAAAAGCTTTTTATACAAATATTTCACTTCCTAACTTCTTGAGATATGGTGCAACTCAAACCTCAGCATCCTTTCACCTGCAAGCTTCAGTAATTCCCAAGATGGTCCTGCCCAGCAGCTCAGCTGTGCAGCTCCAGCACTCATTCACTCTGCTTTTGGTTCCTGTTGTCCTGTGAAACAGAGACTGCTTTGCATTTTATGAAAGAGGAATCTATTTATAAGCCATGTATTTATTTCAAACCAAAGAGCTCAACGCTCACAGAGAAAAACATGTGAACCAAGCTCTCAGCTTTTCTCCAGTGAACTCTCTACAGGAGACTCAGCAATTCCTCTCAAAGTGACCAGAGTGGAGTGGGCTCAGGATGCACCAAACCCCACCACACCTGACCCACAGCACAGCCAAACACACAGAGCAGCTGCTGGACAGTATTTGTCACATTAACAGAAGACACCAAGCCACTGTGGATTGTCATTTCGTAGGAAATTAAATGTTTTAATAAAGATTTTTTTCTTCTTTCCAGTTTTTAAAATATTTCTCCTGAGTGCAGATTCTTTTTCAGCAGCACACAGCTGGCTGAACATGAGGCAGTGGCACCTGGCTTGTGGCAGCAGGGCCAGGGCAGTGCCTGTCCCCTGTGCTGGCACTGCTGGGGCACCTCCAGTGCTGGGGGTGGTTTTTGAGCCCCTCACAACAGGACCTGGAGGGGCTGGAGAGAGTTCAGGGAAGGGAACAGAGCTGGGGAACGAGCTGGAGCACCAGGAGGGGCTGAGGGAGCTGGGAAGGGGCTCAGCCTGGAGAAAAGGAGGCTCAGGGGGACCTTGTGGCTCTGAGGGGACAGCGGGGGGGTCGGGCTCTGCGCCCAGGGACAGGGACAGGAGGAGAGGGAATGGCCTCAGGCTGGGCCAGGGGAGGGTCAGGTTGGATATTTAGGAAATTTTCTTCATGGAAAAGGCTGTCCAGCCCTGGCACAGCTGCCCAGGGCAGTGTTGGAGTCCCCATCTCTGGAAGGATTTAAAAGCCGTGTGGATGTGGCACTTGGGGATATGTCAGTGGTGGCCTTGGCAGCGCTGCGGGAATGGTTGCACTGCCTGACCTCAGAGGGCTTTTCCAACCTTTCTGACATGAGCATTCTCGAGCTTCTGTTTGCCAGGCACTCAGCTGGGCAGAGATTTGGAAAACATGAATGTTCCTCACTGCATTTCTCCCTGTCCTTCACAGGAGCAGCAGAAAATCCTCATTTCCTCTGCCGTGCTGTGCCACACCTGGACCTGCTCCCTCAGGGGTCAGGGCTGTGTCTACGTGACTCCAGACACAGCTTTTGTTCAGAATGCTGAAAGTTCAGCCGTGCTTCCCTCCCCCTGAGCTGCGGCACACAGAGGGGAGGCTTCACACAACAGAGGACACACTTAAAAATCCCTTTTCCTTCTCCTTGGGGCTGGACTGACCATCAGATCTGAGCTAAACAATGATTTGCTCTGAGTTTGTTTTTTTTTTTTTTTTTCACCTCCTCCTGCAGCAGACAGGGTGGGGTTTGGCTGCTGCACTTATCTGAGCACATCTCTTCATTTTCCTGGAGCTGCAGAGAGGTCTCAGCAGTGGCACCCCAGGCTAGTCAGATCATGCAGAGATTAGTCACACAAGCACTAATTAGCCTTGATCCAGAGCCATCTGAGTGAAAATTAATGGCCAGCATTAAAGAGGTGAGACAAGCCATCCAGAAGCTTTGCAGAATGACAGGCCAGGCTGAATTAATGAGATAAACCCCTCTAATTAACAGGTAATACAAACAAAACACTCAACAGCTGTCTGGGAAAGTGACCCGGGCTCAGTTTGTATTTGTGGTGCCCAGGGTCTGACTCAGCCCTGAAAACCCCCGAAGATTTTTGTGCTGGGCACAGCAGCTCTGCCTGGCTGCTCAGGAAGCATCAGCGCAGATTATTTCAGCTGATTTGTCAGCCAGGGCACAGCAGCAGCTCTGAGACTCTGCTTGTGTCTCCTTCCTGAAGGGAGAGAGAACACAACTGTGCTCTGCCAGCAGAAATCCCTCCTGAACTGGATGTGAAACTGCAAAAACCACCATGGAACCATTCAGAGAACAGATCAGAACCTCATTTTGCGCTCTCCAGGTAGAAATCTGCCCCTTCACAAAATTGTGCAGACTTTTGCTTACAGC